TGCTGCTGTGCCCTTGGGGGTCAGGCATGCACCAAAAATAATAGCTGTCATCCTAAAGGTATAAGAAATAAGTATGAATAAATTTCAAGATGATCAAAACACACAGACACAAAAAGAAAACATAGGCATGGCTCTGCCCCTGGGGATTGGTCATGCACAAAAAAAACAATAGCGATCATTCTTAGGGTATAAGAAATAAGTATGCACAACTTCAAGACAATCCCTTAAGAATTGTGGATTGTAGTTGATAAACTGACACATACAAAAATTGAGCGTGGCTCTCTGTCCCTGGGGGTCGGGCACGCACCAAAAACACTAGGGAACATCCTTAGGGTATAAGGAAAAATTAGTATACATAGATTCAAGACGATGCAATGAGAATTGCGTCCTGTAGTTTTGAGGCGTCTGGTGATAGAGAAACTACATAAGTGCTGAACTTCAACTTTCTAAGCAGACAAAACAAGTTTTCACCTGTTTTTAAAGCAAAACTAAACTGAAACGATACTCCCTGGATCCAAAAAGAGTCCTTATTCTTATTCTATGTTAAGTGTTGATCTAAAATGACAAATATGAGAGGTCTAAGTTTTTCAGAAATGAATATTAATCTGATTATTCAAACCCATTATTCCAATTCGTCAAGCGTATTTTACATTTTGTTCTCATTTTGGACGCAAAAAAAAATTAGAACAATACAATGTACACCCAAAATGTTTACATATTTGTAATCTAAGTCAAAGGTCACTATAAACAGGCACGTTTGAGGAGTATAGGTCATTTAGAAGTTATTTGAAAATAAACGTGAAAAGTCAAAATTTTGATAACAGCCATTAAAACTTCATTACCGCACAAATTTCAAGTGCCAATTAAAAATATAAGCTATTAAATACACAAGATTGACTTTAATGTTTGTTATAGTAGGGTAATTGAAGTTTCATTATCAAATTTTTTCATAATTTTAATGTCTGTTATAGTATGGTAATTGAAGTTTCATTATCAAACTTTTTCATAATTTTAACCTCTGTCCCACATGGCCAAAATTGAAGGTGAAAATAAGGATAATTTATACGTTTTCAGTGTGCATTGAACTTCGAGACTGAATATTTGGGAAAGTATATATCTCATCGACTTAGAATCTTTTGTATATTGTTAAAAGACAAACTGACATTAACTATGGCCAATTTTGAAATTTGTGTATACAATAGTGATTTTGCCAGAGGCTGTGGAAATCCTGAAAATAAAAGTGAATAGTTCATTTTTTTCACATTTTGCCACCTGGTGGCGCGAAGAGTAGGCATTGGATAATGAGTGTGATGCTAAATTCGTAATCTATACGCCAAAGGTCACTATTAACAGACACATTTGAGGAGTATAGGTCATTTAAAAGTTGTTTTAAAATCAACGTGAAAAGTCAACCATTTTCATGATAGCCATTAAATCTTCATCACCGCACAGATTTCAAGTACCAACAAGCCAACAGTGAGGCTGATGTCCCCCGCCGAAATAGGAAAATAATTAGAGGACACATATAAATTTATCACAAATTATCTTTTACAAAGTATTGAACAATCAAACAGTTCAACCAATCAAATTGCTTATCTCTGCTTACCCTAAGCGGAAAATGCTCATCTTCGAACTCCATCAAGGCATTGACCTAATCAACACATACACCAAGTTTGAACATTCTAGCTCAATTAGGAAGAGAGTTATCGTGCCCCAAAGTATCAACCAATCAAATTGCTTATCTCTGCTTACCCTAAGCGGAAAATGCTCATCTTCGAACTCCATCAAGGCATTGACCTAATAAACACATACACCAAGTTTGAACATTCTAGCTCAATTAAAAGTTATCGTGTCCCAAAGCATCAACCAATCAAATTGCTTATCTCTGCTTACCCTAAGCGGAAAATGCTCATCTTCGAACTCCATCAAGGCATTGACCTAATCAACACATACACCAAGTTTGAACATTCTAGCCCAATTAGGAAGAGAGTTATCGTGTCCCAAAGCATCAACCAATCAAATTGCTTATCTCTGCTTACCCTAAGCGGAAAATGCTCATCTTCGAACTCCATCAAGGCATTGACCTAATAAACACATACACCAAGTTTGAACATTCTAGCTCAATTAGGAAGAGAGTTATTGTGTCCCAAAAAGTGTGACGGACAGACAGACGGACAGACAGACGGACGGACAGACGGACAGACAGACGGACAGACAGACAGACGGACGAACCCATTTTAATAGTCCCCTGCTTTCTTCGAAAGGCGGGGGACAATTAAAAATATGAGCCATCAAATACACAAGATGGACTTTAATGTCTGTTATAGTAGGGTAATTGAAGTTTCATTATCTCACTTTTTCATAATTTTATAATTTTAACCTCTGTCCCACACGGCCAAAATTGAAGGTGAAAATGGGTATATTTTGTACGTTTTCAGTAAGCATTGAACTTCGAGACTGAATATTTGGGAAAGTATATATCTCATCGACTTAGAATCTTTTTTAAATTGATAAAAGACAAACTGAGATTAACTATGCCAATTTTGAAATTTGTGTATACAATAGTGATTTTGCCAGAGGCTGTGAAAACCCTAATTTCAAATGGCCATATCTCAGCGAGTTTCCAACCTAGAGAGGTAAAATTTTGGATTTCCTAGTTTAAGGCCATATACTATAACATATATTTTTTATAATTTTTTTGGAGGGGGTCATGTTCCCACCATTGGTCCAGTTGGTATGGAATGACCCTATAGTTAGTTTGAATCGGGCAAAAATTGACTGAGCTGTGACTGCTTGAAGCCACCCACCTCACCAAAGTAAGTTTTGAGAAAAATCAAAAAAAGATTTGGTATGTTTCAAAACAAAATCCCATAGCAACCAGGCCATTTATTTGCTATTTGGTCGTCGAATATTGTTTTCTAAAGGTTTTTAGGGGTGCTGAAGATGAAAATTGTAGTAAAAATTTAATCCGACAATTTCTGCCATCTTTTTTTTTCAAAATTGACCCAAAAATGACAAATTTTCGAGTTTTCATAAGTTATGTGTTTATTAATGTCATTGTATGGGTTTTTGGGGGTGCTACATCAAAAAATTGCAGCATAAGAGTCAATCCGATAATACCCGCCATTTTTTTTCTCCATTTTTCATAATGGCGACCGAAAAGATAATCGTAGTAGTAAAATTTTATCCAACAATATCAACCATTTTGTTTTATCAAAATGGCGATCAAAATGACGATTCTGTTTTTTTATCACCATATATTTGTAACAGTCTGGTGCAATGTCATTTTATATGTTTTATAAGGCACGAACCTTGTAGCATCAGGGGTCGACCGGACTGTATCCTCCATCTTGTTTTTCATAATGGCCACCAAAATGGCAATTATTGGAGTTCTTATACTTGGTACTCTATCATGTAATATATCATTTTAGAGGTTTTCGGGGGCACTGAATACGAAAAACATGGTTTTGGGTCGATGCAACTAATATTTATCATTTTAAATATTCGATGATTTTATGGTCACTCATCAGTTATGGTCACACCTTGCAGAGTAGGGTATACCAATGAAACAACGGTATGCAACACCTTATGCTATCAACTATAAGAAAAGAGAACATTTTTCAAAAGACAATTCAGGGTATACTTCATATAGAACAGGGGGTACTTAGGAAACAACAGTATGCTAAAAACTCTCATAAATTTAATAAAACATAATAACAAATTGTATTATAACGTATCACAAATTACTAGTATTTTTTAAATAAAATATATTACAAATGGAATAATAATAGCACTCGAAATATGATGATTTGTAAAAGAAAAGTAACTCAAGCACTGGAAATGTGGCCATTTAGATGAGTCAGTTCATTTTACTATGATCTGGTGGGGTACAGAATCATTTAGCTATTGGGTGTTTATTATGATTACTAATTTAATGTTCCGTTAACACCCATGTCGACCACGTTATGCTGGTGGTGAAACAATGTCACTGTTCGTGGTCTGACCGCGACCACGACCCCGTTTCGCTGGTGGTGGAATATTCTCCATGTTCTTCGTTTGACCACAACCACGACCAAGGCCACGTTTAATTGGTAGTTGATTATTTGCACTGTTTGTTGTTCGGACGCGACCACGTCCATATATCAACGGTTCCAACTCGCAATCTTTTTAGCTTGTTCTCTATCCATCTCTCGAAAATGTAGGCGTATCTGCCTGGCAGCCGCTGGTCTTATATGTCATTAAAGTTACGACGTAATATTAACATCATGACATTACTGGTTACTATGACTTACTTCCCTTGTGCTTCAAATTTCATTTGTGTAGTTGTGTTCTCTGAGGAGTGAGGAAGTAAGTTTTTACAATTACGAAAAATGAAATGAAATGAAATGAAATGGGATTTATCGTATTAATATTTTGTTGTCTGAGGAGTGAGGAAGTAAGTTTTTACAATTACGAAAAATGAAATGAAATGAAATGAAATGGGGTTAATCATATTAATATTCTGCTCCGAACTGGGCTAATGAAGACTAGCATACCCCACACAGTGTGCTATGAGGGAAATTTTGCCCAGACAGCAGCACTATGGCCTACTCTTACATCGAATTCGAACTGTCAAGGGATCTCTTACGTGCATGCTAATGTGTACATAGGACCTCGGTTTTCCGTACCATCCAAACGACTAGACAGCTGTCCTTGTCAGGCCCTTCATCCTGCATCACTGACAATGGGGAACCACGCCGGTAAATCTGGATGAACTTTGTCGTTCAATGCAGGGATCGAACACCCACCTCCAGGCTAGCAGGCCAGCGTCTTACCCACCATGACCCTGTACACTTACAAAACGATAGATGCTTTTTAAAAGATGGTTTTGTGACACCCATACCACATTTCAATGTGGCCGCATAAAAAACAGTAGCCTCTATCTTGTTTACGAACAAACTTTTGACGGACTGACAGCATAATACAGCCACACTTAAATGTGGGCATTTAAAAAGATTTACCTCAATAGTAGCAGCAAGAGTGGCTACTGTTAGCATTGGTAGACAATATACAGGATCAGGTATACTTAAATCTGTGAACCAAAATATGCCACCATCTTTAAAGCCTTCAATTGGTAATGTTGACATCTGACGTAAAGCAAAAAACATGGATAAGAATACTGGCATCTGAAATGGAAAAGATAAGTACCCGTCTTGTATGATGTTCAAAGGTTTTAATAATAGAGATTGGGGGCTAAGGCAAAAAATCATGCGGTATCAATGTGGTTTTCAACATTATAATCATAACCAAAATGCTTAACCAGTGTCAAACATACCGTGGGTCAAATATGCTACAAATCGACTCAAGTGTGTTCCATACAGTCAAATATTAAGCGGATGCACTGGGATCAGAAACATTGATCATAAAAAATAATCTCTAATATGTGATGGATTATGGCCGAAGACTGTCCATTCTGTCAATAGAAAGAACAACTGAGGGGCGTTAGCCCCAAAGTTTTTCTTTGTATTTACATAATGGACAGTCTTTGGCTATTATAAAACTTAAAACATGGCACCATAGAGATACAAATAATGGATAGTTTTCTAAAAGAACAAGCCACCAAATAATGGATATGGATATATTCTTGAAACAACATGCACATGCTCATGCATGCATGTGACAAAACACTGCAGTTATAATGCAAGCATACACAGACAGTCCAAAATATTCGACATGGAGATGACATGTTTATAAAACAGTCGAAAACAAATATTAATAATGACAATATATGTGATAAGCATTTGGATATTGATACATTTGGTAATGTACTCGATATGGAAGTTAATAGCCGTAAAAATTGTGATGTTCTTGATACGGAGGATAATAGCCGTCAAAGGTGTGATGGAAAGGCTGGTGACGAAAATGATTTAGATATTAATAATATTCTTAGTACTGTGGTTAATATGCAGGGTACTAGCCGTCCAAATTTTGATTTGAAATTTAATATATAGGACACAGGATCAAAGGCACAAACCATTTCAAGAAATTTGAACTCAACTGTCATTATGGTGTAACGGTGATATATTTGAACAGTTTTTAAAATTGGATAAAAATTGTGACCTGTATACATTGTAGGTTCCACAGGCTCAAAACATGTTTTTTTTGTTCAATCAGGGGCCATAATCCAGGAAGTTACGGTCCGATATATGCGCCGATATCGCAAGGAATCGAGATCTTTGGGTAATAAACACGCATGTTCAGTTTCATCAAAATGGGCTAAAAATTGTGACCTCTAGTGTGTATAATCAGGGGCCATAATCCATGAAGTTACGGTCCCATACAAGCCAATATCGAAAGGAACTAAGATCTTTGGGATATATACCTATATTTCAAGTTATGACCTTTAGAGTGTCCACAAAGAAGGTGTGAAAATGTGGGCGTATGAAAACGTATCATCGAACTAGTGCCCAACGTACTATTAAACGGACAAGTGACATATAACGAACGGATTTAAGTGGAATTCTTTATGTAGACAAACACGTGAAATCAACATTCGGTCATGTGACATTTCGGTAACTATGAGGTTTTAAAGTAATTTCATGTACTGTAATTTAATTTGTTCAGAGAATAAATTATCCCAAAATACATGTTCATTTTTCAGATAAGTGTGTATTATTGGTAAACCTGTCCATTATTATTTGATTTTCATAAAATTTCCAGTGTGTGATACCTAATGCCATTTACGATTTCATACAAGTAATTTAACACTTTTACTGTCACCGGAAGTAACGTCATTTTGGCAAAAACTGTATTTTTAACCTTCAAAACAGATATTTTATTCAAATGAGTCTGATTTGTATTGTTTTTAAAATTATGATATTTGATTCCAATCAACAAATAGATTAAACCCACACAATCATACAGATACCAAAAAATGGTTTCTAACTTGTATGGTTGCAGAGAAATAGACGATTTTCTACAAGTCACTTTTCAAGGTTTTTGGTCTATAAAAGTGGCAATTATTATTCGATTTACATAAAATTTTCACCATGTGATGCCTTATGCCATTTCTGATTTCATAAAACTAATTTAACATTTTCAATACCACCAGAAGTAATGTAATTTTGTCAGGATCATGTACATGTAACAGAGAGAGAGAGAGAAACGGGGTTTAACGTCCACTCGACACAAACTAGGTCATTTTGGGACTAACACATGGTTTAATTTTATTTCAATAATTCACTTGCGCGTAGGGGTCTTTAGCAGTGGGAGGAAACCGGAGCACCCGGAGAAAACCCACGAGGTTGGACAGGCGACCCTACTCCTTGCCACGTACAACCGGGGTTTCAAAACCATGCCAGTTGACTCAATGACAGACTTTATGGTACAGCGCGTACGTGCTAACCATTCAGCCACCCAACCCCCTTACATGTAACAAATGTATACAATGAATTGATATTGCTGGATTTGGTTGATTCTGCATACATTTTATTTGATGTGTGCAATGCTTCAATATGGAAACCTGTTTAATAGTTTCATCCGTACCGGAAGTGACATATGTTCAAGGGTAACGGGGCACCAGTGAAACCTGTCATTACTGCATCGCAGTTCTAGTTTTCTAAATAATTTTTACATCAATATTTATTATTGTTTTATTTTGAAATCAGTAGCTATCAGGCAAGAGTTAAAACAAATACAATCAAAATATTTATGTGCCTTCTCTCTAGAGCTGGAAAGGGGTTCACATTTGAAACACATTCCGCAGCAGCAAATTGCCCATTTTGGGTGCTATTGAGGCAAAACTAAAATATGAAGGAATTGAAATCTTGAAGGGAAATTTTGTTTACAAGTCCAGAAGTTTGTGAATTTTTTAAAATTAAACACTGTGTATAAATCTAAAAAGTCAATCGGATATTAACTTTAGCCTCTAGAGCGTCCACAAGATTTTTGAAGTGATCAAGGGCCATAACTCTGGCAGTAATTATCCGAAATCGCTGAACATCAATAGGCTTCTTCGTCTCATGACATTAAACACTGTGTGTCAAATTAAAGTCAATCGGATATTAACTTTAGCCTCTAGAGCGTCCACAAGATTTTTTGAAGTGATCAAGGGCCATAACTCTTTCAGTAATTATTAGAAATCGCTGAAAATTAAAAGGCTTCTTCGTCACATGAGCAAAGACAATATTCGACCATATTTCAATGTGGGCGTATAAAAATGAACTGTTAATTACCTGTATCATTGGAATCATAAAACTTTTCACTGGATTTATATTGTTTCTTTGCATAAAGGTTGCCAATTCGTGCCCTGCCTTTGCAGCTGTAAACAAATTTCAAAAACAATATTGATCCATATACAATTTACAAACGTTTTGGGAAATACAAAAGATTATGAAATAAGAGGGTACACAAATTTTTTTTTTCTATTGTTTTTTTTATATAAGGAATCAGGCCTGCTATAGGTAGTGATGTACCAATATGGCTACTATCGGTTTTACCGATATCACATTTCGACAGTGAATCATATCGGCCGATACAGATTCAATTAACGATAATGATTCATTAAAATCTATTACCCATTAAAATGCCTCGAATGTCATGATAATTGATGTAAACTCGAATGTCATGATAATTGATGTAGATATTATGTTGTTGATAGTCAGAAAACTTAAGGTACTATTCTATCTCGGAAATCAAATACAAACATGTTGATTATTGAAGGAATAACTGGGTCAAGCTTCCTACATAGTTAAAAATAATTATGTAACTTTAAATTTCAAAGAGAGGTTGCCAGGTAAATAATGCATATAAATTTCAGAAAGATAGAATGATAACTTTTGACGTTAGAGCGTTCACAAGGTTGAATAAAGTGAAACAAGGGCCATAACTCTAGACGTAATAAAGGAAATTATTGAAATTAAATATTCTTCTTCATCTCACCAATGTGAAGAACATATATCAATTTAAAAACAATCAGATCATAACTTTTGGCGTTAAAACGTTCACAAGAAATTGTGGACGACAGATGGACGGACGGGGCCAACGGCAATGTAAGTCCACATTTCCATGTGGGCGTATCAAAAGTACAGAATATGCAGCTAGAATTAATCCCTTTGTGGCATTTAGAAATTATGTTATGACACAGTCATGTAGGACAAAAATCACTGGTTTATTATACACAAGCATGACGCTTCGATAAGTATCATCTTATCATTATCAATGATTAAGTTTGATAACTTGTCATATGCATTAGGTTAAAACATGTAGAAATTCTAACTGCAAACCAACGCTATAAGAAAATTAAAAGAAGCTATAAACATTAAAATATTTTCACTAGAATTAAAAAATAATTTGGGACTGTTTACTATGGCATATGATAAAGTTATCAAAATTAATCAAAGAATTTCATAGACTGTAACAAGCCAACAGTCAGGATGATGTCCCCCACTCAAATCCCAAAATAAATAGATGACACATATTAATTAATAGCAGATTTATTTTTTTCAAAAGTATCAAGCAATTAAACTGATTATCAACTATACATAGAGAATCTCCTACAAGTCTTTTTTGATATCAAAAAATATCAACAAAAGTCGGTAAAGTAAAAAAAACAAGCCAACAGTGAGGCTGATGTCCCCCGCCGAAATAGGAAAATAATTAGAGGACACATATAAATTTATCACAAATTATCTTTTACAAAGTATTGAACAATCAAACAGTATATCTTTACTTATAGTCTAAGCATAAGTTTCATCAATCTCACTTAATTAGAACTAAAGTTATCGTGTCCCAAAGCATCAACCAATCAAATTGCTTATCTCTGCTTACGCTAAGCGGAAAATGCTCATCTTCAAACTCCATCAAGGCATTGACCTAATCAACACATACACCAAGTTTGAACATTCTAGCTCAATTAGGAAGAGAGTTATCGTGCCCCAAAGTATCAACCAATCAAATTGCTTATCTCTGCTTACCCTAAGCGGAAAATGCTCATCTTCGAACTCCATCAAGGCATTGACCTAATAAACACATACACCAAGTTTGAACATTCTAGCTCAATTAAAAGTTATCGTGTCCCAAAGCATCAACCAATCAAATTGCTTATCTCTGCTTACCCTAAGCGGAAAATGCTCATCTTCGAACTCCATCAAGGCATTGACCTAATCAACACATACACCAAGTTTGAACATTCTAGCCCAATTAGGAAGAGAGTTATCGTGTCCCAAAGCATCAACCAATCAAATTGCTTATCTCTGCTTACCCTAAGCGGAAAATGCTCATCTTCGAACTCCATCAAGGCATTGACCTAATAAACACATACACCAAGTTTGAACATTCTAGCTCAATTAGGAAGAGAGTTATTGTGTCCCAAAAAGTGTGATGGACAGACAGACGGACAGACAGACAGACGGACGAAAGGCGGGGGACAAAAAATGAGGCTCTCCCGAGTTTTTTTTACTTTATCGACGAGTTTTGATATTTTTTGATATCAAAAAAGACGAGTAGGAGATTTTATTTATCACCCAATCTTTTTTTACATGCATAAAAATAATTCTTTGCTATAGACTTAACTTTTACTGAACCTGATTACATTACGGCGTAGTGATACATCATTTTTTGACAGCAATTCAACCATTGCAAAGTCCTTTATATTGGCCTAGTGTTTCTATCAAATCAAGGTCAATTAAATATAAATAATTCATTTTTAATAAAAAAAAGAAGTTACTTTTAATAAAAAATAACCGTTCTTTGAAAATACAAAAAAGTAGTTCCTTTTTAACTGACCAATCAGTAGATTATGAAATTTATCACACAAGCGATATCTACTGTAGAATGTATTATTGGGTGATAAACTAAGTTTTATCACTATCAGATAGAATCAAAGTTATCTTGTCCAAAAGCATCGACCAGACCTGTCAACTCTACCACATCACACGGTAAGTGCCGCGAAAAGGACTCATGCATCGCTCTACTGCGCGGTAATAGATTTCTACCGCATTTTCAAACCAAGGTTTGTTTTTTTTAATTTTCTCGCCAAAATTCTTTTCAACCTATTTTAGAGTTAATAAAGTGGATATAATTATTGGCATGTGTTCCAATACTCTGAAAATGAGAATCGATAAAATAAACAATAGCGATTGCCACCTGTTTACGGCAGCAATGGGCAATGGCTGATATTTTCGTTCGCGCGCGTAGAGCATCAATTACAAAATTTCAAATGCACCACAACCTGGAACTTTAATTTCAAGATGAGACTACGTCTCGCCGATTGGGATATACATGGAATGCTCTCTCAAATAAATGCCAAAACAGATTTTCGGAATCTCGGGAGAAAAAAAAAAAATCCTGTACATTGTGAGAGGATAATCGCCATATGGGGAGTATGATTAAATCAATGCCAATATTAGTCGTTTTGCAAAACTATTTTTTTTTATGACCCCCATAAACACTATAAAATCTTATAAGCACACCAATTATCTTATACGAAACAATATTGACAAAAAACTCTCACTCCGAGAACACTAGGATATTTTTAAAATCATGCTAGATTAAAGTGGTCATTTTAATTATTTTTGACATTATTTCTTTCTGTAGGCTACATATTCAATTTTGATCAATTACATCAATTTTATATGGTTACCATTGCCTGTGTATAGTTTATATCTATTCCCCATTTAATGTAATTTTTGTGTTGTTGAGTCTGCAGTTCGATCTATCATTTCTAAATTAATTGCCCTTGGAAGTGCAAATTTACGCGTTTTTGGAAATCTACTGTCAAATCATGGCTTCTACTACATTTTTTACACTACCCAACTGCATTGCAGCTCTGAGAAGTTGACGGGTCTGGCATCAACCAATGAAACTGCTTAGCTTTAGCTCAAAATGTTAATCATTAAACTCAGTCAAGACATTCACGTAATGAACATCTACATCAAGTTTAAACATTCTACCTCAATTAAAAGCAGAGTTGTTATGTTTCGAAGTCTTGACCAATCAAACTGCTTATCTCTGCTTAGCTTTAGCTAGAAATGTTAATCATTGAACTCAGTCAAGACATTCACCTAATGAACATCTACATCAAGTTTAAACATTCTACCTCAATTAAACATACACTATGTAATAGCTAAATCTGACTTTTGCTGGTCTTTCTTTAGGCCTGAAATGTTATATAAACTATTAATTAGACATTTATTAACAAAACAAGACCATAATCAACTCTTGATGGCATCGGATACTTGAGATTTTAACTAGATTAAAACGGTTACCACTGTGCACACATCTTGTCAAAACTACAAACAATGATAATGTTGTAAATGAGGGTTTTTATAAAGGTCATGTGATTAGTGTGACGTAACTGATGTTAAACAAGTCACTTATTATAAAGCTACGAAACTATCAACACGTCGCTACTACAGTTCATCTACTTGTGGTTCAACACAATGAGTCACGAAATATTACATTGGTGTCGCTGTAAATTCACTTGTCTACGACTACGGTTGAATATTGGTTTATCGACTGGGTCATAGCTTTCAGAGATTTCTGAAGGTCCTACAAGTGCTTATTCATTGCAATTTGATATATCCGGATAAAGAAGAAAAGAGAGAGAAGAGTAAATATACGACATTTCAACAACAATATTAAAGATTACAGCATCAACCCATTGTTACAGATAATTATTATTCTTTGTTTCACGTAAACGAAGAAAAGTGGTCACGTGAATTGTTTTCATTGACGACTGCGTTAGTTACACTTTATAGGCGGTCAAAGCTGCCAAAGATTGAAACTTCTAATTAATCTAATTCAATGTATTTATTCTCGATAATTTTCACGAATTGTGCTGATGTACATCGAGTGAAAACTTATTTAATTCTTATAAGCGGAAAATGCTCATCTTCGAACTCCATCAAGGTATTGACCTAATAAGCACCTACACCAAGTTTGAACATTCTAGCTCAATTAGAAAGAGAGTTATTGTGTCCCAAAAAGGGTGATGGACAGACAGACAGACAGAGGGATGGACCGACAGACGGACAAACCCATTTTAATACTAGTCCCCTGCTTTCTTCGAAAGGCGGGGGACAAAAAACAATAGGCAGGTAAAAAAAACTGGTTTCAAGTCCAAACATTTTAAGACAAACGAATTAATTTTGTATGATGTCTAAAATCAAAGATACACAGCAGAATGTCATAATTTGGTCATGGAACTTAAAAATCTAAACGTTTCGAATGATAACGTAGCAGCGGTTATATCCGGGACTAAAATCTAATTACACTTCATATGAGTAAATGTACTAAATGCTAGCATATCACACGAGAGAA